AGTGATGATTGAAGAATGAGGTAAGTCAGGTTTGTTTTGTTTAAGTTGGCTCAGAACTGTCAGGCCGCAAGATAATCTCCCTGGGCAAAAAAAAAAAAAAAAGGGGGGGGGGGGGGGAGGCGTGGTATCGACCATGGCCAGCAATGTGGCTGTTGCTATAATTAGGTGTGCTGGTAAACCAGACAGACAAAACGGGCCGTTCCCTTAACAGAAATAAATGTGATCCTGATTTACAGACACAGCCGGGCCTGGCTTTTAAGGAGTATTTGCAGAAGTCACCTCTTTTGTTTTATGGCTGCCAGGGATTGCCTTTTATACAGCTGAGTTCCAAACCACCTGTTGCGGTTAGGTTTAAGGAAACTAGGCTGAGACACAAAGACTGAGATCTTCTAGAATTTTTACCTGCAGGTTACTTTCTAAGACCGCTTTTGGAGTTCTGAGGTTCAAGATTACTTGACTTTGCATCTCCATAGTTCTCAGACTGAATGGTGCATGGGGATCCTTGGGAGAGCTTTTGCCAAACATCATTTCCTGAACCTCAGTCCCTGGGTTCTGATTTTGGTCTGAGTGGGTCCCACTCATCTGCCCTCCTAAGTGTCTCACGGGTGACACCAATGCTGCTTTTCCAAGGGCCACCCTTTGGATAACCTTGCTTTATCCTCACCCCTTAGTACTCCCAACACACTTTGCTGTAGAGACTTCCAGATGCATTCGCCTTTGTGACCTTGAATGTGCTGATCTTCCTGTCAGAGCTGTTCGACTCATTTCTGTTATATATGCTAATTTCAAGCTATCCAGCTCCAAAGAGGCTTATAGCAGGAAGCCCCTTGCCCCTCGAAGGCCCTGGTTGAACAACCCTCCCTTATCTCACCTCCTGTCTTGCGCTGAATCAGTGCTTTCTCCACCAGTCTCCAATACTCGAAAATATAAAGTCCATGGACAATACTGACTATATCATACACATTTATTGAAAGAGCAGATTATTCTGGTCAGAGATGTTGGGTCAGCAGCAATATTCATTAATCCAAATTAGTTTGGGGAAGAGAAAGTCATGGGAATCTTTAAAACCATACAGACCTTCAAAGATTACCCCGTGACACTAAACTTGTTCACACATAGGTGGATGTGCTGATGTGCAGACCTTTTTCCATGATCGGTGCTCATTGGCAAAAGGGCGCCTAGCCAATTATTTTAAAAAATAAATTGAATACATACCCTTTATCTACCCCTTCAAATTAAAGATAATTTTTTTTAAAAAAAGAGGTTAGAAACAAATAACTTGAAAAAATTTTGACTATAAAAAGAGGATTTTTGTTTCAGATAAAGTATTTTCATTTTATGTTATAGTCAAAGGCTTAGTGCTCCAGTAAATATAGAGTTCAACAAACAAAAAGCAAACAGGAACACAGAAGTAGGCCATAAATGACAATTAAATGAGAAGATGTAAACTTCACCCGTATGCAGGAAACGTCAAGGGAGTCCTAGACCATCATGACTGCAAGTGGTATACAGCTCTTAACAAGAGACTGTCTTAAAGGAATATTTGGGCTTCTCAGTCATTGAGGTTCAGATGGAAAGTCAGCGATTCTGACAGGGTCCAGAGTTATAGCACTCCTGCTGCAACTAACGTGCTGTACTAACTGTAGGCAAGTAAATTCACTCCTCATGAAAACAACTGTTTTCACTTTCAAAAGTATGGCTCTCCATGTTGATTTCCAGGTTTTTAATAAATAAACCATAATAGGGTCTCTTAGATAGTAAGTTGCCAATGAATAAAATTAAGTGAAAGGACTGGAAAGGGAAATGACCATCAGAGAGAGAGCAGCCAATGGAAGCATCAAAAGAGGACAATTACAGCTGTATGCAACAGCTTAGCTCCTGGATGATAGGAGCCCAAGGCTTGCATACCAATACTCTAAAAGCTGCAAAAATCAAGTGTGTTTTCGAGCACTAAGCTCCAGCTTCATCATCTTTGCCTCCCTCCTTCCTAACACATGATAATCACTCCCAACTAAATGGATAGGCCTGACTGATCAAAAGGGGAGTGACTGAGAATCATAATCACGAAGGTGGAGTGGTGGAGAGTTGGAGTTGACCCTGGAAAAAAAGGGGGCTATTTTCCACCAATACGCTTTTCTTCAACACTGAGAGAGTAAAACACTTCATTCATTTCCAGAAACAACTAGGTTTGCGTCAAGTATTAATGCTGCAATTATCTTAAAATAGGTAACATGCTTCAACAGTAGAGAAGGGCTTGTATCACAGATGTCACAACTACGTTTTCCAGTTGTCACCAGCAAGGCATCACCTAGTGGGGACAGAAGTGGGGGGTAGTGTTGTGCAGCAGAGCAAAACTACTAGAGAAGGAAAGCAAGCAGCAGCGGGCTAAGGAAAAAGGGGGTTTCTTGTTGTTGCTGTTTTGTCTTTATCTTACGCCTCCAATTCTGTTTTTAGTGAACTAGTCCATGCAGAACAGTAGACCCTCTTTGCCAGTTAGCACAGTGCCATTGATTCACCAGGACTCTGAGCTCTGTGCTAAGTGCTTTCAGGCCACAGTATGACATGGGAGTTCAGCCACAATTCTCCTTATTCTTCTGATTTTTATAGGTCTGAATAGTATCTTTAGTCCTTGACTTCCTTTAATAAGATTGTTTTTCACTCCGCTGCAGTTAGCTTTTACAATGGCTTGCCATAGACCATTCAAATCCCTTCTGGTACTGACCAAGCAAACTCCTCATGTACTTACTTCTACGCTCCTGAACAAAAGCAGTAATTCTCAACTATTTATAAAAGCACTGTGCATCAACAGCCATGTACTAGCTGTTCAGATAGATGAAATATAAGGAGTAATCTTTTCCCAAGGAATTTTATCATCTATGTGGAATCCAGCCACAACAAATTAAAAAAAAAAAAATCAAGCTGTGTTGGATTGGTGTCAATCATTGTTAAGAAACTGAAAAAACTAAATTGTGTTGACTCAGCAATGACATCATTTGTGTGGATTACTGTTCAAATTGAAATTACATAAAACAATGCTGCCTTATAGTCAGGAGATCTTGGATGTAGTACCAGCTCTACCATTTGAATAGCATTAACAAAGTCATCTCACACTGTCAATGAAAGGTTTTTGGGGGAAGGGGGATTTTTGTTTTAATCTTCTTAGAATTTCTAAATGCTAATCAGAAATGTCCCCTGTGTCTATCAAAAATGTGTCATGATTTGACAAGTTCTTCCTTAAAATGTGTTTATTTTTCTCATTCTACAATAGCGTTGGGTTGAGACTTGTCTCCAATTCTTTTGGTTTAAGCTCATGAATGTGATCAGGCAAGCCCTAAAGGTTCAATGCACTCCCAGCTTTGAAGTGTCCGTGTCTCTTGCATCTCTTCCTTCACTTACCATTTTACTCAACTCACAGCTCATTCAAATGGGAAGGCAAAGAAACATGATAATAGAAATGGGTCTTTTATTTTACTAGTGTCTGTGGAGTAGCCAGTCTCATCTAAAATAATCATAGGCTGTAAAACATGGCAGCCAGCAGATTTAAAATCTTCTAATGCTACTGCAGCATAATAATTTATAAAATTCAAATGACAAAATATAAGAAATTGGCTTTATGCTGTGCCAGGGCATAGTTTTAGGCATTACCCTAGAAGGAAAGTTCTTTCTTCATTTAATACCCTTTCTTTCAATAAGAACTTTTTTTTTTATTGTTGTTTACGTTGTATTATGTGGTACAGTTTTATAGGCGCTGGGGATTCCCCCCACCCCTCCCATACCCCTCCCCCCATGGTGGATTCCTCCACCTTGTTGCATAACCACAGTTCAAGTTCAGTTGAGATTCGTTCCTTGCAAACACATACCTAGCATAAAGTCCAGCGTCTTATTGTCCAGATAAGTTCAGTGGCCTCTTGGGGAGACCTTCTCTGGTCTGAAGATAGGGCTAACAGAGTAAAGATCCAGTCAATAAGAACTTTAACTCTGTGTGTAAGTTTCAGCATAATAAGAATTTTAAAACACTGTTACCCCAGCATTTATTGTTCATTTATTTTGTGTTGGGCTTTCTGCTGTGCATTACTTCATTCTACATTCCCAACAACTCCAACATATTTTTAAAAAAAATTTTCCCGAAGGGCTGCAATGTAGTATCATGGGCTAAGCTACCACCTGCAGCTTTGGCATCCCATATGGGCACCAATTTGAATCCCAATTGCTCCCCTTTCAATCCAGCCTCCTGCTAATGTGCCTGGAAAACCAGCAGAAGATGGCTCAAGTGCTTGGATTTCTGCCCCCATGTGGAGGACTCAGATGGAGTTCTGGGATCCTGTCTTTGGCCTGACCTAGTCCTGGCAATTGCAGCCATTTGGGAAATGAACCAGTGGTTGAAAAGATCTCCTGTTCTCTCTCTCTGGGAACCTGAGCTCTAAGAACCGGCTTTAGATCCAGGAGGCAGGGATTGGTTTTCAAGCTCAGCTGGACGCCCTTGAACATGTCAGGTACCATCTCTAACCCCATTTGCCTCATCAAAGAAATAGTGACCCCTGGAAAACTAGATATAGTAGCCCTTCAGAAAGCCAAATATAACCATCAGAAGGGGGTGGTGGTAGCAACAACCATGTTGTTCTTGTTTCCATGAAAATTAAATCCAGGACCTGGTGTGGAAGATAATGTTGGGGATGTAAATTTCCCTGTTCCATCTTTATTAAATCACCATGAAAATAAGCCTTCCTCTGCCTTCTTCTCCAGCTCTAGAAGGGGCAGAAAGAAGCAAGAACTCAGGTGATTTTGACGAAAAGCCTTCCCAGATGGGGCAGTCCTAGTTCACAGGGTGTTTGGCAGACTAGGGCTCCATGGCTAGCAGCTCCATTGCTAAGGGCTGGAGTTGGGGGCTGAATCTCACCTTTCTCTGTCATTAGACCAGAACCCTTCCAGGTCAGACCACCCACTCATGCTCACAAGGGCACCTTCTCCAACTAATCCTGGTACTTGCTTCCCTCCACCAGGCATTCCTCCTACGGAAGACTTTTGGACGACCATGACTACGGTTCCTGGGGCAACTACAACAACCCTTTGTATGATGACTCTTAACAGAGGACCTGGCCTGGGATGTGGAGTGAACTGTGCTTTATTTATAAGTGCTTAGCCAGTAGAATTAATAACGAGCACCTGATGCACATCGAACGACAATCTTAAGCCTTGTTTTGTTGGTATGGTTGTTTCCATTTTCCTCTTTCTCCTCTCGCTGCTACAACCCCTTTTGGTTCAAAAAGCAATCCCATTATTTCAAAGTGAGAGGGGGCTGATTTGGGCCAACATCCCTCCGGCCAGGAGACCACCCCTCTATGATGGAAGCCTCAGCTCCTGCTGCAGGACCACTGAAGGAAGGATTGAGGAAGAGGGACTGGGTTGCTTCACTGGGCATTACTTTTAAGGAAGCTTTTTGTGTGTGGTGTTCACTAAACTTCTGCCTTGGAAACAACATTAAAGGCTAACGAGGGAAATGGAAGGAAGTCCTGGAGGATTTCACTTAAGGAAGTAGGAGGTTCCTAGAGTTTCTTTCATCTCCGTTCTTCCAGTTGGATCTCACAGGACACCTGCTAAGCTCTGCAGCGGAATGCCAGCTTCTTAGCTGCCTAATTAATAAAAGACGGAAATGGGAGGTGCCCTGGAGGCTGCCAGCAGGACGAGAGGCTGAGGAGCAAGCTGCTGTCAGGTCTCCACATGCCTTATCCCTGCTCTCCCCCTCCAGACTGCCTGTCTCCATCAAGGCTATTCTTTCTGTTTAAAGGCAGCTGTGATTCCAGCCTACACTCTACAGCAGAGCTATGGATCCCTAATGGAAACACTGAGAAGAACTTAGCTCAGGGAGACAAAGAGAGCATGTGGCGTGAGCGTCCAGAGGAAAGAAGTTGGAGACTGGAGGGGGAGGAGGATGCTCCTATGCACTGAGAACCAAGACAGGCCAGTGGAAATCAGTCCTCGCTAATAGTCAGAGACATCCAGTGCTCAGACAAGTCCGTGTGATCCTTGCTTTGTTCTCACGAATCATCTAGTTTCACTGCCTTACTGTTGGATGGATCATGGCTGTAAACTGTTGAGAGACATCAGACTATCTGTAATTAGCGAGATATTTCCACAAGAAAGAAACATCAGGATTAGTCCATTTGTTCTTTTCATACACTTAACCCTACTAATTCTTCCCTGAAAATAGTGAGGATCCACGGGCATATTGTCTTAACATGCTGCACACCAAATTGTGAGAAACAGCAATTCATTTTGTAGGCAACCTTCTCAACCAGGGGTGATGCTGCCCCCTCCACCCAGACATGTCTGAAAATGCCTAGGGATATTATTGATAATCATGACCTATGGGTAAAGGTAAGAAATTCTGCTGAGCAGCACAGAGCAACCCACACCAGCAAAGACCCACCTGATGACAGATGCCAGCCCCACTGGAATAGAGCAGCTGTGGCATATTGAAGGTCCATGGCAATGGAGCAAGAAACTCACAGATGGCAAAGACTTTTTTATTTTTAAGCAATTTTTTTAGCTCCAAAGTGTTGGGTTTAGTTGTTAATGGGTTCCCTTTGGCATGCATGATTTCCTTTATTTCTGTATTTTATAGCCAGTATTATTTCACAGCTATGGCTGTGTGCTCCCTATGTCTGATGTCAGCAACCAACACCGTAGGTCGCGATTGCATGTATTAGAATGCACACACTGGGTCCATTTCCAAACATGCCACTTTGTCCTATACCGTCATCAAATAACTTGAAGTTGGATTAATTTTTATTTCTAAGCTTGGACCTTGCTGCCCTGATTGTTGGATTTCTAGAAACTTCATTCTCAGCTCAACCTGTAGTTCACTGTGACCCAGAAAAGTCCTGATAGAAAAATCCACTCTGAGCATTATTAAACCCTTCTGGTATCAGGGGTACCACAAGCAGTGCCACCTTCCACACTCCATCACCCCACATTCTGAAAAAAAGTTATTCCTAAACTCTGTAGTCATCAAGAAAATGAGCAATCTCCAGAAGCATTTTATAATAGGAATTATTGAATCTCTGCATATTGAAAACAAAAGTCAAAAAAGTGGACCTTCTCAGAAAAAAAAAAAAAATAGCCCAAAAGGACCAAGAGTGCCCCTTCTGGCCATTCTTGCTCTGGGTAATCATCTCTCTCCTCCAAACCCAAAGCCTTTTTCAGGGTTTTCCGTTTGACAAGGAATAGACCTGAACAAACAAACAAAGCAGAACATTTCATTTGTTGGTGGTGGGTTTTTTTCTCTTCCTTTGACCTCCATGACAGCCCTTTGGAGTGGTGTTTATCTGAGTGTTGCTTTTGCTGTAAGTACTAGGTCAGAAACACCAAGCTCCTCCCAGGAATCATTGACCAAAGAATCTCAACAATTCCATTCTACAGATGTTATTTAAACACACACACATATGCACACATTTGGGAATATGCTGAAAATTGGCATCCTTGCCTTAGGGAGTGTCTGTTCAGGTCTACACAAGGGGGATGGCTCCAGTAGGTGCAAACATGTCATTCATCAATGGGCCAAGAGAGAAAACTTTTGACCGAATTTCAGAGTAGAAGGGAGGTCTGCAAATTGTCTTCTCTTCCTGACAAAATCACACATCCTCCTTTCTGAAACAAGAGTGGAGCTTTCCTCCTGACCTCAGCCCATACAACCTCACAGATATATTCTGAGGACTAGCAAAATCATGTCTGCAGTGTTTTCAGTTTCTGGAGAAAAACATTCTAAGTATTGCATAGGTTTACAAGTGATCCCAGTCTCTTGTTTGCTGCTATACTGGTGTGTTATTTTCGCTTATTCTCTAGGATGACAGCTGTGTTGAAGCCACATCAGATAGGTATTAGAGCTCTGCATGACCTAACTCCCAGAGCAGCTGGCTTTGCCTAGGGCCACATTTATTTCCATCTTCAAATAAAAGGAAGACCCAGGACACGGGTCTCACATGTTCTTGATCAGGAGCCATGAAGTTGAGATGGCACAGGTTGGACACATAAGCACCAAAGGCTGCAGACCACTGGTCCTCACCATCCTGATGTTTTCTGGGTGCATTATGCAATTGACCATGGTTTGATTTCCTCTGTCTGATGTTCACCTTGCTTGCAAGAGTGCATGATTCAATCCCTCACATCTGGGAAATGAATTTTGCAACTAGACAAGTTGCTAATTTGCACGTTGATTCACCTTTTTTGCCTTTATCTGCCCCCACTTCCTTTTTTGGGCTAATGAATGTACCATTTCAACCTTAATTTTAAAAGTGCTCATTAAAATTGTTGATAGTGCTAACCAAAAGATTCATACCAGATTTCTTTCTTGGGGTGAGTTAGCCAACATTGTTTAAAGGTGGAGAGATGTGCAACTTCTTTGATATTTGATGTTGTATCTATATTTGTTGTAAAACATATTGCATACCAATGAGATCAATTAAAATTGTTAAAAGCTTGTGTCTGACTGTGATGACTAACATTGTGATGTTTTATTATTCAAAACATTCAATTTATATAATCAAAACTTATCATATTAAATAGCTCTGACTTGTCCTTCAAGAAACTTATCTCACATCAATAAATAATATTTCCTGTAGATCAGGGAAGTCTCTCTGATCTTGAAATAGAATAGAAGAATGTGAGAAATGAGGAAATGTTCCAGGCAGTGATTTTACACTCAAACATACAACATTGACTAGATGCTGATATCTAATCAAACCAGATCAGTGCACACTAACATTAGCAGAATGCTTGATACTTTCCCTTTCAAAACATTAAATTCTGCATTCTCATTCTTGCCTGACAATTAAATAGCAGGCAATTTCAGTCATCTATAATATAATTTCAATGCCTACAAACCAAAGAAAGATTATTCTAATTCTGAAGGGTAGAGAAATTTCAAAAGCCAGGCATTCTGCTCCACGGAAGAAGACTGTATCATTTGCAAAGTAGAACTTAGGTTAGATGATGGGTGTAAACTCCAGGTCAAATGTAATGAGTTGAGTTATTCAGCTTTCAATAACACTGTATGAAGGATTGACTGGGAGGAATCCAGACAAAGCATGAGGGCAAGTATACCACAGACCCTCCTCAACGGATTATTGGCTATTCTTTGAGTCCTTCCATGGACACAAAAGCAAATAAGACACCATTTTTCCAGGTATGTCAGAATAATATTGGTCATTAAGCACCTTAATTGTACGTAAAAATAAGAGACTCAATAACAGTATACAACACATACACACACGTTACGGATTCTTAGATGCAAACCAAACATTTCCTGTTGTAAGCTTTCCAACTCAGATCCTATTATTTCTAGATCGTTAGTCACCAATATGCCATTTTTTTTTACCCTTTTAAAATCCAATAACACTAACTGGTAACTTCTGACAGAAAGCTGTGGTTATAAATAACTCTTGAATGATAAATATTATACTGGAAAAATAAACCCAGAAAAACTGTGGCTACTTCCGCTCTAAGATGTAGACTTTGGCTGATACAGAATAGAACTATGTAACACACCACAGTAGCATTAACATCCAAATTAGCAAATGTCTTGAGTTTCTATCTTAAGGAAACTATGGGATATTTACCATTAAAAAAAAAAGGAACTTAAGATTCAACAGGAAGCATGGATGCCTGTGGCCATTGCTTCATGTACACCTTACATCCATTTTAGAGGTCATTACACCATGTCCACTTTGGAAACAGGACAATCAAGGTTACTGGGTACTAAATTAAATCATCTGTTCGCTGACTCCTTCTATGAACTCCACAGTGCATACAATGGTCCCTGCTTTCCCAGTTTGTACAGTTTAGGAAGTGACAGGAGTGGCCCCTAGTCTTTTTCCACACAAACAGTTGGGATATGTGGCCCATCTTCCAATTCCTGAAAAATGCTTCTCCTAAATTTCAGGCAGTTTGTAAGCTATCTCATATGCAGTTCAGTGCAAACCAGGTTAACTCCCAAGCCTGTGACCCCTGCCCAGAAAAGTCGGCTGATTCCCACTGCCAGGCTTTGTTCTCCACCAAGGGGGAGATGGCTTTCCTTCTTGTCCTGTTGGAGATCCAGTAAAATGCCCTATAGTCTGGTATGGAGTCTTAGCTCTCTTAGGCTCCACTTGTTTTCCATAGAGCCACTTGTAAATCCATGGCTGCCTGGGCAAGGCAATGTTATCTTTGGAAATACTGTGCACCCTCACCCTGAGGCTCCTTGCTTGGCCCAACGTGTCTTTCCTCACAGCAATGATAATAATATCAGCTTATTCTCACCAAGTACTTGCTGTGAGCTGAATTCTCTTTGTAGCACATTACAGAGGATGATATCTCTGCACAGTAGCTATAATTAATGTCCTCATTGTACAGATAAGGCAGCTGAGTGTCAAAGAGGTAAAGGAACTCACCCAAGGTCCACATCAAGAGTGGAGACAAATGGAAATGCCGACAGTTGGTCTCCAGGGCTCATGCACTGGACTCTTTCCAAGCAGAATCATTATTCTATGCAAGACATTCCTGACTAACGTGCTCTACCAGCAACCAGCCGGCCACCAACCAACCACCAACCAACCACCAACCAGCCTCCTCTGTGTGGAGCAACCTGAGGCCAAAGTTGGGCAACCAGTGCAGAAGTAAGGTTCTATCCCAAGGTTGCTATCTAGAGTGGACAGAAAAATGAACTCTAAGCAGGTCAAGTGCCTTGCCATAGGGTCCTTTCACACAGCAGAGCACCTGGAACTGATGCTCTGGCAAATTCTGAGACATCTCCACATACATCCTGGCACTGCCAGATCAAGGTCAAAGTTGCAGGAACCACCAATACAACATCAGCAGTTTCCAGGATGACCCTTCCCTTCTCTCCTGGTCCACATAGCAGTCATAATGAGGCAGCCTCGACTGTCAATGTGTTCTCCCACTGTTTGTCTCTTGGAATTGGACAGATTTTACTGCAAAACACACTGCTGAGCAGAGTGGTGACAGTTTAAGTCAGTCATAAACCAGGTGTCATCAAGTGACATGAGACAGAAATGCTTGCCTCTAACATCTGTGCAAGACACCCATCCCTGTTACAAGCACACATCAGGAAAAACAGAAGCAAGAGTGAAGCATGGCCATGTATGTTGCTAGAGTACACCTGAAACTGCTCATACAATATTAAGGACTTCCCATAGATCTAGGAGTCTTGCATCATTTTTGGTGGTGTAGGAGAAAGAAAAGGCTAGGGAAACCAAACATAAGTAACTGTTGGAATTCTGCACTTTTAGGAAACAGCCATAATCTCAGGCTGCCATAACAAAACAAGTGGTTCCCAAGAACTGCCTTGAGAGCCACAGCTGCCCACACACCTGACAGCAGTTACACCTGAAGAATAACTTTGCCCTTTGTCCATCATAAAAGTCATGTCTGAGAACTTATCATGGGCAAACTCCAACCAGAGTCTTGTAGGAAAGTGGATTCCAGGAAACACTATTTCAGAATTCTTTGTGCTGCTTTTAGAAAAGTGATGCCAATGCTAACTAAAATAAGCTAATGATACAGTCCAAGAATACACCTCAGATTAGAACTTCTCCAAAATGCCATATGAACATACAATATTGCAAAAACTCACAAAACTGAGGATGTGCAAGGGTTGACACATCGGCCAAGCACATCAACGCTTCACCTCGTATGAGCATTGGTTCATGTCCTGGCCTCAGCTTGAATCCAGCCCTCTGTTGGATGGTCTGGGAAAGCAGCAGAGGATGATTCAAGTCTTTGGGAGGCCTGGAAGAAGCTAATGGCTCTCAGCTTTGGACCAACTCAGCTCTGGCTGTGGCTGGGGAGAGAACCAGTGGATAGAAAACTTTTCTCTCTACGACTCTGAATGCATGCATGCCTTCTCCCCTTAAAGAAAAAATATATCATGTTTGCATTGCTTCATCTTCAGGAATTCTCATTCCATTCCCACTTCAAATGTGATTTATTTGACACCAAATCACAGGGTTAACCACGTACATTACTGGAGAGGAGGTAATGAGAAAAGACAGAGAAGGAACTGTCTACTCTGTGTACATAGACACGTATAGCAAGGGAAAGTATGTGCAAGTGACTCAGGACTTCCTTGTTGCCCCTGGCCACGTGGCCTTGTTGGTATTTACAAGTCTCCTCTTCCATTCACCACTTCCCTTTGTCTATGTCTCACCTGATCATGACCCTTTACGTGACCAAGTGACTCAAACTTTCTGTCAAAATATGAGTAAAACTTGGAGAATGGAAGACAGAGAGGCAGTTACTGCATGGGGGTGACATTTCTATAATTTAAAAATGTAAAAAGAAAATAGACCAAGACAGAAGAAAATGGAGGGAGGCAAAAAGGAAAGAAGGAGAGAAGGGAGGGAGGAAGAATAAGAAAAAAAGAATGGGGAAGCAGGGAGGAAGGGAGGCAGTCCAGCACACATGTATATAACATGGCAAATACTCGGCCCTCTCAATTTTGTGGTTCTTGGCTCTTTCCATTCCCATGCTGTCAGTCTACCTCTCCATTCTCACCCAAAAAGAAAAAAAGATGTGAGGAAAAAAGCAAGAGATTTCAAACCATTCCCAGCAGTCAGTTTGCTGCATGCTCAACTAGGGTCCTTCCACAGGCCCATCCATCCAGCTGCCCCATCCCACTGGCACCATCTCTGCTTGAAGTCTTCTGAGGGAAATCTTGCATTTTAGAAATTGAAGGGCTGCTGGGAAGTTGGAGAACAGTGAGAACAGAGTGTTTTTTTAGAATGTTCACTTCAAACTTTGGAAGGGCCATGAGGCATCACACACACCGGCAATCCTCCCATTCTCCCCTCCTATGAGGACGTTCCAGGCTGCAGATGGTTTTACTGGGCCACTGATAACAAGCCCCAGAGCTGATTTGCACTGAAATGAAATGCATTTACATGAGGCATAATCCCAGTGGCAATTAATCTCAGGTCCTGAGGCCCAGGGACTCTTGGAGGAGTTGTCTTCTCCATCCCAAACATCTGTTTCTGGAAAGCAGCCAAGCTCATCAAGCACCTTTCTCCAGAGTGCTTTGCTGCCTGTCTCTAAAGGTTCCTGTGTAACTGGGCTTTGGGCCTCTCTGAGCAGGAGTGCAGAGGCTGGAGTCTGCCTGCCAGAGGCCAGTTCCCCTGCTCGCCCCCTAAGAGTTCTAATAAATCTTGCACCTGGCTTCGTAGGCTGAGTCCTGCCAAGAGGCAGGCAGGTGATTTTTCAGTAAAGAATGGATGGTACCATGATTTTTGGCCTCCCTGAAGTCTGGAAATGGGGGTGAGGGAATGCAAAGTGGCTGGTTCCTTGGAAAGTAATAGGTTCTCAGTATGATCACAGCCAAAGCTGCGTGAGTAAAGAATTGGTAGGATGGAAAGGCTGGCAACTTTACCTCTTCTCCTCCTTGGCTCCCTGTCTATGCTCGAGACACTTCACACAGTGACAGGAAAT